ATTATGGCAATTCTCTGCTATAATTTGCTCCAATATACCTTCTGCCCTGCTCTCTTTTTCTTCTTCTTCAGGGATCCCAACTATTCTAATATTGTTTTGTCTTATGGTATCACTTATTTCTTGAATTCTCCCCTCCTGGTCCAGTAGTTGTTTATCTCTCTTTTTCTCAGCTTCTTTATTCTCCATCTTTGGTCTTCTATATCGCTAATTCTCTCTTCTGCCTCATTTATCCTCGCAATAAGAGCCTCCATTTTTTATTGCATCTCATTAATAGCTTTTTTTGATTTCAACTTGGCTAGATTTTAGTTCTTTTATTTCTGCAGAAAGGGATTTTATTTCTCCAGAAAGGGATTCTCTGGTATCTTCCATGCTTTTTTCGGGTCCAGCTAGCACCTTGGTAATTGTCATTCTGATCTGTAGTTCTGACATCTTACTAATGTCTGTATTGATTAGGTCCCTAGCCATCGGTACTGCTTCTTGTTCTTTTTTCTGAAGTGAGTTTTTCCACCTTGTTATTTTATCCAGATAAGAATAGGTGAATGAGAGAACAGAATACTAAAAGGGTAACAATGATCCTAGAAAAAGATACAGTAGTCAGTTCGGAAGAGACCAGAAACTAGGGAGAGAAGAAAGGAGGATTAAAAAAAGACTGGTGAATAGAACAGAGCCACACACCTGATACTGGGTAGATTTTGGTCTGTTAGAAGAAATTGTCTCCCATAATCTTACAGAAAGAAAATCTCATATATATATATATGTGTGTGTGTGTGTGTGTGTGTGTGTGTGTGTGTATACACACACAAAAATAATGGTAAACATGATGAAGGGATGGAATATGATGGTGGAGATGAAATTTAAAAGGAGTTTTTAAAAAAATATTTTATTTATTTATTTGACAGACAGAGATCACAAGTAGGCAGAAAGGTAGGCAGAGAGAGAGAGGGCGAAGCAGGCTCCCTGCTGAGTAGAGAGCCCGATGTGGGGCTTGATCCCTGGACCCTGAGATCATGACCTGAGCTGAAGGCAGATGCTCAACCCATTGAGCCACCCAGGCACCCCTAAAAGGAGTTTAAGAAAGGAAATGATAAGTTAAAAAGTTGGTTGAAAAAAGAAAAAAAAAAGAGAAAAGAATGTGGTCAAGCTGGAGACTAGAACAAAACCATGCACTAGATTTAGGTATATTTTGATCTGTTAGAAGAAACTGTATCCCAAAATTTTAAAGGAAGAAAAACCAGTATGTACGCAGAAAATAAAATTAAGTACAATGAAGGGATAGAATATGACTATAACTATTAAAACTTAAAAATTTTTTAAAATTGTTTTGATAAGGTAAAATAGGTAAAAAAGATTAAAATAGAAAAGATGAAAAATTAAAAAAATAGAATTAGAAAAAATAAAATTTAAAAAATTTAACTTTGAAAGACTAAATAATCATGGGGAAAAAGCCATGAGTTCTATGTATTCCATTCTCCTAGCTCTGGAGTTCCACAGTTCTCACTGATCAGTGAACTTGGTCTTGGCTGGGTGTTCTTGCTAATCTTCTGGAGGCAAGGCCCATTGCCATGATTCCAAATGTCTTTGCCCGGGGCAGACTTGCACTGCCCTTGCTGGGGACTGGGCTATGTAATATGCTCCGGTTTGCTCTCATAGCTTTTGTTCCCTGAACGCTTTCCATAGAGCTTTGGAGGATAGAAATGAAAATGGCAGCCTCCCAATCTCTGACCTGGAATAGCTGAGAGCTTGTGGCCCCACTCCTTAGTGCATCCTCAGAGAAAAGCTATCAGTACCTCACGTCTTCCTGTCTCCAGCCATGCTCCAAGCTCACCCAGCCTGTGACCAAGCATTTCTCTCTCTAGCGCACGGCTCCGTTTGGAGTCTCCAAACCCAGCAGATTCCTGCAATGTGCTCCCCCTGCCACTCTTCCCAGGGGAGGAAGGAGAGGGTCTCCCTGGATATGCTACTTATGGGGTCCCTGCTCGAAAAGCAGTGGTCCGACTGTGCCTTGGATCATGGTTTAAGGTATCCCTGAGCTGAGAGCCCACTCCTCAGCTCTCTCTCTGCCTCGATCTTCCCTGCTCTGATACCTGGAATCTCTGCTGCACTCAGACACCCCTGGTCTTTCTGTGACCCTGCAGGTCCTGAGACCACACTGTCCCTGCGAGGGGTCCACACCTCACTTAGCCTCTGGAGTGACATCCCTTAGTGGAGCACACTTCTAAAAGTTCCAATTTTGTGCTCCATTGCTCTCCCACTTGCCAGGAGCTGGCCCCTCCCCCTACAGACTCTCTTCCCCTGTATCACTTTGGATTCACTTCTCTGCATGTCCTGCCTTCCAGAATGTGGTCTGTTTTCTGTTTCTAGAATTGCTGCTCTTCTTCTCTTCGATCTCCTGTTGAGTTTGTAGGTGTTCAGAATGGTTTAATAATATCTAGCTTAACTCCTGGGACCATATGAAATTTAGGTCTCCTACTCCTGTGCTGTCTTGCTCCCCCGCCCACATAGCTTTTTAAGTTTTCTATAGTGAGTGTGTCTTTTGTTGTTGTTGTTGTTAGATTTTATTTATTTGATAGAGAGTGTGCACAAGCAGGGGGAGCAGCAGGCAGTGGGAGAGGGAGAAGCCTCTTCAGGGAGCCCAGTGTGGGGCTTGATCCCAGGATCCTGGATCATGACCTGAACTGAAGGCAGATGATTGACTGATTGAGCCACCCAGGCATCCTATAGTGTGCATGTCTTAATTTGATAGTAAAAAAAAAAAAAAAAAAAAAGATTTAAAATGACTGCCATTTATTTAAGAGGCTTTTATGAACATTTAGAAGTTCTTTTTCTGCATACTTTTTATTATGGCTGCTCTTTTTATCTACAGAGTTCTCATAGCTCAGAGCTCAAAAGAGTAACTAAAGATACCTCCATACATTTGTCCTTTTTTGGCTGCTATAACAAATACCACTTCTGGGTGGCTTAAAAAACAGAAATGCATTTTCTCACAGTTCTGGAGGTTGGAAGTTCTAGATCAGGGTGAGAGCGAGTTTGGGTTCTGGTGAGAGCTCTTTTCCTAGCTTGCAGATTGCCACCTCCTTGCTGTGACATCACGTGGTCAAGAGCAAGAGAAAATAGTCTAGTGTCTCTTCTTATGCGGGCTTCGTCCTCATGACCCCATGTAACCCTGATCACTCCTAAAAGCCTCATCTCCAAATACCATCTCATCTCCATCACATTATGGGTTAGAGCTTCAACATAGGAATTTTAGAGGCATATAGACATTTAGTCTGGATACTCTTTTCACTCAAACTGACAGTATACAGGATTTCTAGAAATTGCTCCTAGAATAGAAAAAGACTGGCAGGCTGTACATAAAACATGAGTGGTGTTTATATCTTGATGGTAAAATTAGAGGGGATTTTCTCCATTTTTTAGGAATTTAAGATGCACTCTTTTTTACCTGGAAAAAATAACAATAAATATTATTTTTAAAGGAAAATGAAGTACTAGAGACTATAACCTTCCATAGTAATCTTGCAGATTTCAGAATCTTTTATTTCATCTTTTTGGGGTTTCCTCAGAATTAATGAAAACGTCTTCAATACTTGGAGCATTTGAATGTTCACATGTAATGACACTCAATAAGAAATTGTTTCTCCTCATTTTCCTCCATTTAATGATGATGAAAATGTTAAATTGTAATATTAATGATGATTATATTGCCCTGTGAATCATGCCATCAAATAGAGTGTAGAATATAGGAAAGATATGCCATAGAATATAGGAAATTAAAATGGAACATATCCACAAAATTAGGACAGATGTATTTGTTAGAAAGTTTTTCCTATGAGTTAGTTATAAATGGAATAGGCCATTCATTGTCTTTAGTTTTGGAACTCTTTATTTAGTCTTGTAGATTTTTTTAAAAAAAGATTTTATTTATTTATTTGACAGAGAAGAGTCTTTTAGATTCTTGATAATGAATTGGTTTAAAAAATGAGTTAGTAGTTTGTTTTTAGTTAACATTCAATTACAAATGTAGTATCAGCTCTTTGGATTTTTATAATAAAAGGGCAGGTATATGGTGTCAGGGAGCAAACTTGCATTCAAACTTTCATTGTTTTAGTTCAAAGACTGGTTGGAGTTTAACATCTCAGGTTAGGGATAGGTTTTCTCCTCTATAAGAGCTCTCTCTTCTCTTCTTTTCAATGCATCATTTCTCTCTGTGCTCTATCTTGTGTGTAACGTCTGTCATTTCCTTAAAAAAATTCTCTATGATTTTTTTTTCCCCTCTCAATCCCACATTTGAATGTAATATTTCTAGTTTTTTCAACTCTGTAAGTCATGTGGATTAAAAATGCCCTGCAAAGTAGAAATGTTTTTTTTGTCACGAAGGGAGCTGCTTGCAAAATAAATCATGACATTGTGATATATTATTTTCAGTTGCTATAAGTTTTCAATATTTAACGTATCAGTCATACTAAATCAGGATTCAGTTATTTAATTTCATTGATGTCTGTATTCTAGATGAGACTCCTTTTCCTCAGTAGATTTTAATTTCCTTGTCTCTTAGAGTCCAATTCCAAGTGTGCCTTATAAAACCAGGCACAGAGTATACATATGAACAAAGTTTTTTTGTTTACAAGTAGACTAGAAATTGTATGCTGGCAAACTATATCTGAAATTACAAATTTGTCCAGTTAAGTGGTGTTTTTTAACACTTTCGATCACTTTTGTCACTGTTCCTTTAGTAATTTGATTTCCAGATATTAGATAAAAATATCTAAGCAACTCTCCATGTTGTATTGTCACTTGATCTTTATTGGGAGCTTAAAAAAATAATCTCACAAATGATCCTCAGAAGTTAAAAATATAAATTGTTCTGAATTTAGGGTTATGCCTATACCATAATTAATGGATTACTACCCAAAAAAACTTTCTGGAATTCTGTTTTGATGATACTGAAAAAACAATTTTCTTTCTTTTTTTTTTACTTTTTTTTTTTTTTTTTTTTTGAAAAACAGGACACAAAAATTGCTTCATTGGAGCGAAACATAAGGGATCTGGAGGATGAGATCCAGATGTTAAAAGCCAACGGTGTGCTGAACACTGAGGACCGTGAAGAAGAGATCAAACAAATAGAGGTTTACAAAAGTCACTCCAAGTTCATGAAAACCAAGGTATGGTCCAAAGTTATAAACTTTTATACTCTTAATGTGACTGAAAATCTATGATTTACATACATACTTTCCCCAAATACCCACATAACCTGTTTTATATGATATCATCTAATTTATGGACAGTAAAGAAGAACACAGAAGATTTTTCGTTCAGAAGCATAGATTCCAATATGAGATCAGGGAACATCTTTGTCAAATTTCTACTTACTAAGGTGTTCAAGATTTTCTAATGAGTAAGTTTGGTGTCTTGGGAGTTAACATTTATTTTTAATAGTCTCCTCTCTTCCAAATTTCCTAAGTTTTCATAAGTTTGCTATTTTGCGAAGTTTGTATCATTGCCAAATTTTGGCCCATCCCTAAGAAGATAACTGTCTCCAATGGTATTGATCTTGGAAGTCAATGAAACTGATTTCAATGGTATGAAGACAGTTTGGTTTTAGTATAGTGCTTAAGGTAGAACTGACTTTGCATTCTAATACTACTGTTTGCTTAAATTATTCAACTTCTTTAAGCCTTAGTTTTATCATCCATGAAATAGGCATAGGATATAGGAAAGTACATTTATCATTGGGTTGGTTTGACAATTCCAAGAGATGATGCATTTAAAGCACTTAGCCCCTGACTAATCCCTAAAAAGCATTCAATAAATGTCAGGCATTGTTATTGATAATGTTATTATTATTATTTTTATATTATTATTATTTTTAAAGATTTTATTTATTCATTTGAAAGTAGATGGAGAGAAAGGAGAGGGAAAAACAGAGTGAGAGGGAGAAGCAGACACCCTGCCGAACAGGCAGCCTGATGAAGGGCTCGATCCTAGGACCTGAGATCACGACCTGAGCCAAAGGCAGATTCTTAACCAACTGAACCATCCAGGCGCCCTCATAGTGTTATTATTATTGGTATCTGTTGCTGTGGAATATTTGTACAACATAATTATTGTAACCTATTCCTTTAATTTATATTGGTATTGCCAGTTTTAAAGAATTTAGTTTGTTACTTTCAAAATGAAACAAACTTTGGGCTACAAATGAACTGAACACCTAAATATCTATTATTTTGATACATGCATAGTTACTAAATTTTTGAATAGCCCCAAGTAGTTCTTTTGAGACTTTGAAAAGCTTTTATTTGTCCCTGGATTGAAATTATTTTGCTTTTGAAATAATAATCGCACCAATTAAAATTCTTTGTTCTTTTTTCTACCATGTACTCTTAAACACCCTGTTCTTGTTCCAAGTTTTACTTTTGTTTATTGCCTTATAAAATGCAGAAGAGGTGAGAGTTCAATGAGGAACCAGTAGAAGTGGAGAGAGGAAATATTGAAATGATGGTATGATTTTTATCATTGTGAAATACATGCATACTCATTGCAGAGAATTTACAAATTACAGAGAAGAAGTAATACGTAACATCTACTTCACCATGTCTGTGTGTGCGTGTATGTGCATTTCTCTAGAGGAAAAACAAAAATTTTGCTTACTTTTGCCAACTTTACATTTGTAAATTGATGTTGAGATTATGACAAAAAGTTTAGATGAAGGAGTAGAGTGAGATCTCAGTAGAACGTCCAGTGGATTTGAATGTAACCTCTTCCTTTCAAGGAGTTCCACAAAAGGCAAAGTGGGCTTCCCTGTTCAGCCCTCTCTTCCAATTTCTTTTTTGCAGTCCTTCCCTCTCAGAAACTTGACCTGAGGTGTAGCAAGCCCAGTGATAGGGTGGCGTGTTGACCAAACAATGACCATTCATTCTGGGATTAGGCTATGAAGATAAGTGTGAACTCATAACGTTTGGGCAGAATTATTGTTTTGGCTTAAACTTTTCCTCTCTGTCCTGTCATTCAACAGTGGGAGATAGTTCTTTTACAGCTAAAAATACCATGAAATTTATTTAGGTAAATAAAACATTCAGCAAGTAGGCCTTTATTAGCTGACAGGTGTCTGAGAGACCATTGGTCTTTGAGTTCGTTTTAATTTTTAATGTTTGGTTACTTTTTAGAGTTCCAAAAGTTGTCAGGTCAGAAGGATGTTTGAGGAGAGAAATGGAGTAAGATGGAAAGAGTATAGGCTAACACATAAAGAGGACTCTGGCCAATCTCTAGCCTGTCATTGCTAGTTGCATGGTTTTGAGGAGTAACTTATATCACTCAGCCACTTTGTTCTTCTATAAAATGGGGCAGCATGACAAACCTTAGCGGGAGACTCACAGGCTTAAATGAAATAATGTAATTAAAATGCTTGGTTCAAAAAAGTAGCTAATAATTATCCCCATTATTATTAAAGAAGTATAACCAAACAATAATAATAATATCAATAATAATAATAATAAATGTCATATTTGACTTGACTAATGGGGAAAATTGATTTCTAAGAATACAAATAAAAATAAGATTTTATAAAGTCAGACTGATAAAAGATAGCAAAAAGTATTAGTCAGAATTAATTTTTTATATCTTCTCCATTGAAAGAATGTTCTTATTGGATTAACTCTTAAAATTCATTGTTTATACTTTCTATCATTACTTCAATTGCTTATTTTTCTTATTTCTGCTTTGAGAGGGGAGCATGGATATGGTTGAGCCAGTCTATGAAGACATAGCTACTTAAAAAAATAAAAACAAAACAAAAAACATAGCTACTGCTAAACATTTAGTCCTGAGTACTTGTGTTTTGTGATTTGTGGGATCCTGGAGGCTGTGTGAACTGATTCCAGTCAGGTGAATCACTTGTCATGGAATTTATTAAATTTTAGAGACATGGATTGATGTCCTCTAAAATTAGATTATTAACATAGTTTATGGTCTGTTGTGGCCTATCTGGATAACTTTAAAAAAAAATGATTTTATTTATTTGACACAGAAAGAGAGAGAACAAGAAGGGGGAGCAGCAGGCAGAGGGAGAAGCAGGCTCCCTGGTGAGCAGGGACCCTGGTGCTTGGCTCAATCCCAGGACCCTGGATCATGACCTGAGCCAAAAGCAGACACATAACCAACTGAGCCACCCAGGCACACCTGGATAACTTTTCTACAAGATTTATATGAATATGTTGCTTGTCAACATCATCACAGATAACTGAAGGGTTAATTTTTGCAGTAGTTGGTTGTACACACTGACAAAATAATTGTTTAGCGTCATCATTACAGTCTTTGAACTCTTTCATTTGCACAGAATTGTATGGATAAAGGTTTTAATGGTGGATTTTTGAACTCTGTGGTTCCCAAAGACTTACTAAACCTTGTTTTTAGCACATGACATTGAGCTAGCTACTGAAGGGCTCTAAAAGTAGTGCATATTCAAAATGTTTCTCACTTCAAAGCCAATACTGACCACTTAATTGGGAAAGTAAGAAATGTCCTGGACAAACTACCCTGAAGATTTGATGAGAGGAGAGTTTACTTCTGGTTGGAATAATAATACAAGTAGTTTAAGTTTGCTTAGTGTTTTTTTATTTTGTTCTGTTTTTTTGTTTATTTGTTTGTTGTTGTTGTTGTTGTGGTTTTTTTGGCCTAAATAACCAGATTGGCAAAATAGCAATGACAGGTCTGGTGAGGAATGCAAACTCGAATCAGTGACTGAGCAAACCAAGAAGGGTGAGTAAAAATTCTGTCCCACCCCAACCCCACACAGAAGAGGAAGTGGGAAGAACTCCATTCAATTGAAATGGCAGGTTTTCCAAAAAAGGAAGGAAATGTTAGATTTCGGCTGCAAACACCTAGAGGCTCTGAAGCTTACCTGGGGGAAATAGAAATGTAATTGTGAAACTCAAGGGTTTAGTGAGGCAGTGATAGAAATGGAAATCAGAAAGCAACTTTGGATCTGGACTAGCAAAAAAAATGCAGGCATAGTTGACTTTAGAAATTGTTACAATTTATACAGACTCAGAGTCCTGGTAGAACATTTCAGAAATTCTTTTGAGATGCTGCCTATGGAGGGGAGTGGAACTCTAGGAACCAAATCTGAAATTACAGTGAAATATTGTTACTTCTTGCTGTTTGCAATGAATATGTAGAAAGCTTTTAAAAGAGCCTGGAGAACTTCTTTTTTACTTGGTGTTTTGGAGAGGTGCCTTCAGAGTGATAACTGTTTGCAAAGGCAGCAGCCTTGGAGGTGGTCTTCCATCTGAGTATTTCTCAATAGAGATCTAAAATGAATTCTATCATGGTTCTAAATAAAAATAAAAACAAGGTAAAAAAAATTCAACCTGATCATGAAAAAAGCTCCTAAACTTGGATAAACACATATTTACATTCTCATTTGACTTTTTTTTTAAATTTTAGTCAAAAATTGTTTTTATAACCCATTGACTGATAAAATTGACTCAAAATTTGATTGCTCTTCATTGACAGGGCATGACCTCAAATCAATCTCAATATATAATTGTTCCAAGTAGGTAATAAAGGTAGCTAATAATAATTCTTATATGCGAACTCATTTCTAGATATAAAAGTATGTTGAAATAGATAATTTTAAATGTTTCAATGAAAATTTAAAATAGAAACAGTGTTGTGAAATGTAAAGGGAGTGCTGCTTGCATTAGTTATTAAAATGAGTAAAGCATGTAGGTTTGGAGGGAAAGGAAGTGTTTTAAATGGCCCTGTGAACACATAGACCAGTGGAACAGAGTAGAGAGCCCAGATATGGACCCTCAACATTATGGTCAAATAATCTTCGACAAAACAGGAAAAAATATATGGTGGAAAAAAGACAGTCTCTTCAATAAATGGTGCTGGGAAAACTGGACAGCTATATGTAAAAGAATGAAACTCGACCATTCTCTTACACCATACACAAAGATAAACTCAAAATGGATAAAAGACCTCAATGTGAGACAGGAATCCATCAGAATCCTAGAGGAGAATATAGGCAGTAACCTCTTCGATATCAGCCACAGCAACTTCTTTCAAGATATGTCTCCAAAGGCAAAGGAAACAAAAGCAAAAATGAACTTTTGGGACTTCATCAAAATCAAAAGCTTCTGAACAGCAAAGGAAACAGTCA